GAGTTGATGACCTTTCAGAATGGTTGTATCCAATTGGCGATAAATTTAAGCCAAATGTTGTCATCCTTGGATTCCAAGAAGTGATTGAACTTACTGCAGGATCCATCATCAATGCAGATTACTCTAAATCATCTTTCTGGACGAAGGAGGTGAACAAATGCCTTAACCAACATGACAAATATATCATGCTTAGAGCAGAACAGATGTCTTCTTTGATGCTTTTATTCTTTGTTCGTGCGGATAGCATGGAGCACATCAAGCGTGTCGAAGGTGCAAATAAGAAAACAGGTCTTGGTGGTATAACTGGTAACAAGGGTGCTGTTGGTATCAGATTTAATTACGGCTCCTCCTCCTTTTGTTTTGTGAATGTTCACCTTGCTGCAGGAACCACGAACGTTCAAGATAGAAACAATGATTATCAATCCATTTTGAACAGTGTTAAGTTCACACGCAACCAAACAATCCATGATAACGAGACTGTTTTCTGGATTGGGGATCTAAACTATAGAATTGCACTGACCAGCGATGAAGTTCGTCGTCGTATCGAAAAGGGTGATTTTGAGTACTTAATGAAGTATGATCAGTTAACAGAGGAGATAAGATCTAACCGTGCTTTTGCAGGATACTCAGAACCTTCTTTGAACTTCAACCCAACTTACAAGTATGATAAAGGTACAAGCAGATACGACAGCTCAGAAAAGTTCCGCACGCCTTCATGGACTGACAGAATTATATATAAGAGTGAGACTGTAAAGCCTTTGGCGTATAGCTCATCGGATGGCGTGGTGTTCTCTGACCACAAACCAGTATATGCAGCATACAAGGCAAAGGTGGAATTCATCGATGAGGAGAAAAAGTTGAAGCTTTCCAAGGACATATATGATAAGTACAAGGCTATTCATGTTGAGTCAAGTACCATCTCTCTTGTTGATTTGGGAAACTCACAAGTGGACACTAAAGTGCATCATACGCAACCTAATTTCCTGGATGCTGATGATGATGATGAGTACAAGCCTAAACTGCCGGACAGAAATGCCGCACTGTCTCCACATATTTCATCAGAGGTTTTAACTCCACGCCGTAACAGTCCAAAACCAACGCCTCCTCCGTCCCGCTCTGGAGCATTACCTAACACCAACTCGACAGCAGCACTACCACCACGTCCACCAACATCCGGGTCCATTACTGCATCTAAGACGACTTTGTCACCACCGCCACCACCAGCACCTCGCTCAGCCACACCAGTTGACGTGAAGGCAGTGCCAATTTCGACAAAGGCGTCACCACCACCGGCTCCCTTGCCACGCAAGGCACTACCTCCAGGATTCTCTGAATCTGTGTTGGTGCCGAAATCAGCAACTCCATCACGATCAGGTACTCCTCTGCCAACGTTGCCAACCGAAAAGAAGACTGCGCCACCGTCAGTTCCTAAGAAGCCATTATCTTTGGCATCTCAAGATACAGAGAGCAAGGCTCAAGGGTCGAAGAGCCCTCCTCCTCTTGTACCAAAGAAACCACAGACGTTGTCCCAGGCACCAATTATACCTAAAAAACCACAAGCATTAAAATCACCATCAGGAGCTAAAGAGAGTGATGATGCATCTGTTAACACACCAAGCAGAACATCGACTCCAGTTGAGCATCAAAACCGTGGAATGAACAATTGGCAACCCTTGGTGCCAAAATGATCGGCTGATCCCACATCAAAACAATAGACGCTGATACACATACTGACATTCTCAAATGTGCGATCTTTTATATTACAAATGTATATAGTAACAAGACATGAGACTCTTAGGCCTGTTCTGAACTTTTCAATTTTTGATACATGGCCATGATTTGCTTGCTTTTGACCTTCGCTGGCCAGTAATGCGATGTATAGAACCAGAGATGTTTTCTCAGTTTCTCCCTGTCAGTTGAATCTTTGCTTTCTATTGTCTTATTAATGAAATCACCAACATTGATCAATTCGTTTTTCAAAATTTTCGCCCATTCCTTACGGTCCAATCCCGTGGATCCCTTCTTTAATCTCTTTAAGGAGTGACGCATTGGATCCAATATGGTTTTACATTTCTCTTCATCCATAGACTCATACCCTTCATCTTTGGTTGGTGTTGGTGTGGATCTTTTGTGCAAATCAGGTCTCTGCAAAGCAGCCGAAGGACCTTCTTTCTTGTGACGTTTAACCACCTTAGCTTCTGGTGTCTTAGATTTTCCTTTGACACCTGCAGATGGCTTAGAGGCCTTCGTGGCAAGTTTTGTAGTAACAGACTTCACCAACGGCTTACCTTCAACTTTTGGTCGTCTCATTCTTTTCTTGACGTCAACCGGAGTTGCAGATCCAGGTGTGTTACTAGCTGTATCGTCTGTATCACCGCCTTTCAAAATAGATATAAGGTAATCAATTCTTCTACCGAGGTGCACCGAGCCAGGTACTTTCTTTGTGTTGTCCTTTGGTTTCTTCTTCTCCTTATCATTCTCAGCAGTGTTAGGGGTCGTAGTGGCTGTAGTTGTGGTGGTTGCAGAACCAGTCAAGGCAGTTGGTATCTCAGTGGAGTTCTCTGTTTTGAGCTGGCCCTCCTTTTCAATAGGTTCAGCGCCCGCGGTCTTTTTCGCTGCAGGAGCTTCATTCAAAAACATTTTAGAAGATAAACCAAGGAAAGGATCATCTCTTATCTGAACCCATGAACCATAGCCATACTTGCTTACACCAACAACCAACATCTCATCATCATGTTGATTCCAGTTTGAGGTCCATCCACTCACTGGCTTAACAACTGTGTTGAACTTAAAGTTTAATGGATCATCAAATGAAGCGACAGCTTCACGAACAATATCCAAATCTTCTGGCCTTGAGATCAACACTTCAGCATTGATGTTTTTGACTCCATTATATTCAAACAGAATTGCTTTACGTTCCTTACGCTTGATTTGCCACAACGCTTGAGGATTATCACCAAGTTCAGCACCCGTTTTACCAGCCTTTTCCCTCTCCTTGTAATCAATAACTGCTTTCTCCAAGTCAGCTAAACTCTTTGTACGACGTTCATCTTCTGTCTTGATCAAGTCCCTGGCAATTTCAAAAAGCTCGGCATATGCCTTTTTGAACAGTTCTGGGTTTTTGTTCTCCGGTAGAGTACCATCTTGAATCAAATCGTCCCATTTGTTGGTCAAATCACCGATTTTCAAGACAGATCTATAGATGGCTCTCACCTCCTTTTCAGTGATTTTGTTGTAGTCCTTTCTTCTTTTGGTTTTCTTCGATTCGTCACTATCATCATCGTCATACTCAGGTGTACCATTTGGATTCTGCATTCTATTGATAGCAGCCTGTCTTCTGGAATACATGTCGATTTGTTCTTGAAGATATTGCTCTTCGAGTCTTTTCTTTTCCTCCTCCTTAAGCTTGGCAAGCTCTTCAGCTGGAATAATATCATCCCAGTCAACATCAGCCTTGTAGTCTGTCACTTCAAACTGCTTCAAAAATTCTTCTCCTCCAAGATTGGACTCACCGAGATCTGGTGTTGTAATATGGTCCTCTGCATGGTTCAAGACATCGTCCAAATTCAAATCTTCAAGCTTCTTTTGATTTTCATTAGCTTTGAACATATTACCAGCACCAAATTTCAGAATCTCAGACAGTTCACCAGTGGATGGTTCATTTTTCTTTCCTGATCCAGTATTTGCTGTGACTCCCAAAGAGATAATGGCGTACTCAAGAATCATTTTCTTTCTGGCCCTTTCCAAGACTTCTTCTTCCACGGTATCCTTAGAGACAAATCTATACACCATAACGTGGTTCTTTTGACCAATTCTGTGAGCTCTTGCCATAGCTTGTAAATCAGCTTGAGGGTTCCAGTCAGAGTCAAAAATAATAACCGTGTCTGCAGTCATCAAGTTAATACCCAAACCACCAGCTCTAGTGGAAAGCAAAAAGACAAAATCGTTGGACTCTGGTGCATTGAAATGATCAATAGAGATACGACGCTGTGCAGAAGGGACAGTACCATCCAATCTCTGAAATGAAATACCCTTAATGGATAAATAGTCACCCAATATGTCCAACATTCTAACCATCTGTGAGAAGATAAGAACCCTATGTCCATCTTTTTTGAGACGCGTGAGAAGTTTATCAAGAAGCACCATCTTACCAGATGACATGATCATTCCTCTAAGAATATCCTCTCTCGGATGAATACCGTGTTCTGGATTACCAAACTTTGCTAGCACGCGTTCTTCTGCGTTGTCAAAGAGATAAGGATGGTTGGAAGCCTTTTTCAACTCACTCATAACGTTCAGTAGAGAAATTTGAGATCCTTTAGAGCCTTGATTTAAAGCAGCATAATTCTTTGTCAAAATGTTCTTGTAATATTCTGTTTGTAAATCGGAAAGTTCCACTCTTAGAATACGCTCAGTCTTTGACGGTAGTGATTTTTCAACATCTTTTTTCAAACGTCTAAGAATGAATGGTTTCAGCCTGGTTTGAAGGTCCCTGATGTACTGCTCCTGGTCTGAATCACTGGACTCAAAGTCTATCTCATCATCAATTTGGAATTTACCTGGCATGAGAAAGTTAACCAGGGCACCAAGCTCCTTAATGTTGTTCTGCAATGGCGTACCCGTAATAAGTAATCTGTTGGCAACTTTGAAGGAATTCAATGCTTCGTATAACGAACTCTCGGCATTCTTCAATCTATGAGCTTCGTCAACAGCAAGGAATTGCCACTTGATAGAGCCGAGTTCTGATGCATCCTTCAAAATATATTCGTAAGTTGTCAAAAGCACGTTGAACTTGACCTTTTTGTTGCTATAAAACTCGTAGTCTCTAATGGTCTTGCGCGCCTGTGTATTACCCAAGTAGTAGACACAGTTCAAATCTGGTGCCCATTTTTCAAAAGTCTCCTGCCAAGCGGGTATCGTAGATAATGGCACAACAACAAGATGAGGTCCATTTTGTCTTCTTGCATACACCAACCATGAAAGGAATGCCACTGTTTGAACAGTTTTTCCCAAACCCATTTCATCAGCTAAGATACCATTTTCATTACGAGACCACCGGCGGGCGCTCTTGTTTAAACCTGTGAGCTGGAAGTCTCTCAGTTCACCATTCTTGATAAACTTCGGTTGTACCACGAGCTTTTCAAAACGGGGTCTCGACGAGCCATAATTTGATGAAAGGGAGGGTAAGATCTTTGAGTTGAGCCTCTGTTGGAAGTGTTTCACCTCTTGTGGACCCAATTTGACAATTTCATCAGCCAATTCCCAAGTGGACTCATCATAATTGAGCCTTCTCCACTTAACAAAGTATTTGAGCACTTCGTCACCGTTGTCATCCAGGGATCTCTCAGAATCAACAATTCTCTCAACTTTTTTGTACTCTTGCATTTCATCCAATCTTCTTTCTCTTTCAATATCCATTGCCTCGATATCCTCTCTAGTGGTGAAATGGTCGTGTCTAATTTCATAGTCGAGAATGATGAACTGTTTGATGTAATTATCAATCTTTTTAATACCCTTTGCGCCTATAAGTTTTGAATAAGTTTCCCAGGTGTTATGGATATGAGCCTTACCTTGCCATTTGATGAGGAATTGGTACTCCTTCTTACACTGTGCCAGGTCTCTAAACATAACCGGTTGGGTTTCATCAATGAGTTTATGATCCACAACCATATCCACACCAACTTGCGCTGATTCCTGCTCTGTGGTGCTGTTATCATAATTGTAATATTCATCATTATTATCATCATCGTCGTCGTCAGACATGAGTAAATCGTCATCATCTTCAACGTCAACGTTATAATTCACAGTCTTGTTGTTTCTCGAGCTGAACCGTATCTCCTCCTGAACAGGTTGCTTGGACTTTTTCGTAACTTTGCGACGTTTGTTGCCGAATCTCTTTTTGGACTTGGTGACGCCAAATTCTTCATCGTCGTCATCGTCATCGTCGTCCTCCTCCTCCTCTTCCACGGCAGATTCCTCCTCTTCGTAATCCTTAGTCGGTTTCTTCTTTCTCTTACTTCTGGTGCGGGTAACCTCTTCTTCCTCGTCACTCTCGGCAAAGCTGACAGGTTGGGTATGGCGTCTTCCTGACCTTCTCAGGCCATAGAGCTCCGGGTTATCGAGTATCTCCTCGTCGATTTCAGGGGCCATTGTTCAGCGGCAAAATGTACAGACGGCGTCAACAAGTTCAAGGATGATACAAGCAGCGTATGTTCTTCAAGGAGCGTAAGCACTTGCGTGGTATGTACAGAGATGGCTTTATCTCACTTCCCGAGATCTTCTTCAAAAGGCCTTATCCACCAGCCAAAAGCAAGAAACACAGCCAACACAAACTGGGCGCGTTCTCTTCAACAACACAGCGGTTAGGAGCAAAGCCAGCGTACCTTCAAACACCAGCACCTCACGTATCTATCGAGTGTAAGATTCGTCACAGATGAGTATCTCAACAAGGCAAGATCACCAACTGATATTCTGGAGAGATGTCACAAAAGCGTCACCAAAATCGAAAAAAACAACAACAACAGAACAACAACCACAAAACCAACAGTCGACGGCGGCTAATGTTCCACGGCGCTATGTTCTCACTTGTTTATATTTCTCACCCGAATTCGTATCAGTGAGTAATGAAAGCAAAGTAAACGTGTGCAGAGTAGCAGCAGGTTCCTTTTTTTTGTGCCAATTGATGGACTTTTGTTTACTTTTCTGAATGTAGAGGAATTTCTTCTCAGTGATTTTGTTTGTTTCCCAACGAAGGGGAAAGAGAAAAAAAGCGAAAAAAAACCTCCAGAAGAGCTTACAGGCCAAAAAAAAACCAATACAAAACAATTGGGCACAGCGTTACGGGTAAACAAACGTTAGAAATTTCGCGCAGCGTCTGAGCCCAAGGTGACTGGCTAAGCGTTGTGCGTAGTGAGTTGGATGATTTGCTCTGTGTGTGGGTGTGTGATAGTGTTGTGCTAACCATCACATGGTTCCTTCACTACAATCGACGGTTTCCATTAAGAACAAAGCATTGTTTGTGGTTGTATTCTTGTTTTTAATTGTTACTAACGACTCGGGACTCCCTAATATGGGCTTCCTGTGTATACCATAGTGGATGAGCGCAATGGAGTCCCTCTCCTCCTCTTTTTTCCCCTTCAGTTCACCATGTATGGATATATTCTATACCCCAGAATATATACAGGTATGTGAGTATAAATAAGATGATTTTTGTGCTGTAGGCGATCAGTTGCCTGAGGCAGCGTCCTTCTTCTCCTCGTGGAAATCAGTCTCTACCAAGCCCGATGTGATGAGAGAGTTGACAGTAGAGACGATGGCAGTCAATGCAGCGAGAGAGACATCCTCGTGGAGGCCGACACCCCACTTAACGTTGCTGTTGTTCTCAGAGTCGAGGTAGCCGAGCTGGATGAAGGTGGCGGCCTTGGTGTTTGATCCGGAACCGAGAGAGTGCTCTGTGTAGTTCTTTACTTCGAATCTGACGTTTGTGAATTGCGAGAGGGCATCGAGGAAGGACGAGATTGGACCGTTACCAAAACCTTGCACCTTGTGAGCCTCGCCGTTAACGATGAACTCACCTTGGAAGATTCTGCCATCGACAACGTTAGGGTTCTTAACAACGTCGTACTCACCGATGGCAAGTGGGCCAACGTTGTCAAAGTTGTAGTTGTTCTTGAACAAGTCGATGATCTCAGCAGACTTCAACTCACGGCCCAACTTGTCAGCCTCGTTTTGAACTGCTGTGGAGAAGGAAATTTGCAAAGCTCTTGGAAGATCCAAACCGAGAGATCTCAGAACGACCCAAGCAGCACCACCCTTACCGGACTGAGAGTTGACTCTGATGACAGCCTCGTAGTCACGGCCAATATCCTTTGGATCCAATGGCAAGTATGGCATTCTCCAGAAGTGATCACCCTTAGCTTGTCTCTTGGCCTGTGCCTCGAAACCCTTCTTAATGGCATCTTGGTGAGAACCTGAGAATGCACAGACAACGAGCTCACCACCGTATGGAGCACGAGCAGGAACTGGGATCTTGTTACACTTCTCAACAACCTCAATAACGGACTGCAAATCGGAAAAGTCCAGGTTTGGAGAAACACCTTGGGTGTACATGTTCAAAGCAACTGTAACCAAATCAACGTTACCAGTACGTTCACCGTTACCAAAGAGACAACCTTCAACACGATCAGCACCTGCAAGCATACCCAACTCAGAGGCGGCAACACCACATCCACGATCGTTGTGACAGTGTGTAGAGATACAAACCTTTTCACGTTCAGAAATGTGGGTACTGAAGTACTCGATCAAGTCAGCATACACGTTTGGAGTGGCAACCTCAACAGTAGATGGCAAGTTGAAAATGATTGGGTTTTCCACCGTTGGTTCCCAAGCAGCCTTCACAGCTTCACAGATTTCAACAGCAAACTCTGGAGGAGTGTCGGAGAAACATTCTGGAGAGAACTGATACGTCCAATTCGTAGCTTGTTGAGTTGGATCATCCTTGGTCAAAGAGCGAACCAATTTCGTGGCCCATACAGCCTTCTCAACAGCCTCCTTCTGGGACATATTGAAGACGACATCTCTGAACAAGTCTGATGTAGCCAAGTAGACGTGAACAGTAGCGTTCTTAGCACCGGTCAAAGACTCGACAGTTCTCTTGATGAGGTGTTCTCTCGACTGAACAAGCGCCTGGATCTTCACGTCATCTGGAGCGTTCTCAACGGCATATCTAGTGAAGTCGAAATCCGTCTGCGAAGCAGATGGGAATGCAACCTCAATCTCCTTGAATCCGGTGTCGACAAGCTTGTGGAAGTACTCCTTCTTCTGCTCAACGCTCATCGGATCCGGCAGAGACTGGTTACCGTCTCTCAAGTCCGTAGACAGCCATCTTGGGGCCTTTGTGATGGTTTTGCTAGGCCACTGTCTATTTGGCAAGTTGACGGTAAACGCCGGCTTGTACTTCGTAGATGGGTCTTTAAGCATGTTCTTGTAGCCGAGAACCACTGGTTCTCTCGAGGCCTTTTGCAAAATCGTCATTGTTTGTTTGAACATCGTGGAAAAGCAACAATTCGGACGCTGGGAAAAAACACACAGATGTGGTGGGTCTTATATACAATCCAGAAAGGGCTTTAGATATTCTTTTCTTTTTAGTAGTGGGAGAAAAGGGAAAAAAGTCAAAGTGAAAAGTTTTTAGAATGCGATGACTCAAAATGGCTTTTTAGCACTGCAACAAAGGGCGAAAACGGGAAAATTGACGAGCGCAACCGGCGTCAGCAGAGCGCAAGAAAAGCGGGGCAACGAAGGAAGACGTGGAACAACGAGAGGTGTCCGGGTGTTTTGGTCTGCCCTGTGTGGTAAGGATTCACTCGCGTGTGATTGGTTGATTTGCTCGCCTTTGGTTGACGATTCAGTGGTGTGTTACGGGAGCTACGAGTGTGCTGTGTCTGTTCTATAAGCGAATACCCTTCATGTCCGTTCATGTGATGGCTGTTCTGTCCAGCTTGTTCAATGTTGTAGCGATGGAAGAGTAAAAAAAAACTACACTGACCGGTAGAGGTCACACACACAAAGAACGCAGGGAGCCGTTCCACGCGTGCCATTTGTTTGCGGGTAAGCCAGAGCCCTGGGAACCACCACAGTTGTGCAACAGACACGCACACTGGGTGATGATAACTTCACAGCTGGTAGCTGTGAGAGGTGGATCACCTGCCCGTGTGTGCTTGTTCCGCCACTTCTCCAGGTTCAACTGGTACACGATAGCCAGTTGATGTGTGTTGTACAATATGATCCATGCACTACACAGTTGCGTGCCATATGGACCAGGGAACCCACGTTGCGGACTCCATGGGAAAGTGGCCAGTTTCATGCGACACTTACACGCTTCTCATAGAGGCGTCCGAGACCAGTGGGTGAAGCTACAACGGTGAGGCTATTCACAGCATTACCATGACTCATGGACTCCACCGTACAGAAGAACTGAGGTTTCCTTGGATAACTGTCAATTCCCATGGGGAAAAAGTACAGTTTGGCACAAAAATTTCAAGAGAGACTAGGACATCCATACACCTTCCCCCTCTTTTTGGCCTATTTCCCTTGTTTGTTCGATGACGTAGTGATTAATGTGCCACATACCACAATAGGACCGGCGCTACATAACCATTACCGCAATAGGCAGATTACCCAGTTCGGCACATTTCCATCCCCTTTTCCTGTTTCGCATGTTCACACACCTTCGGAACGGGCCTGGGATGTATTTGGCGCAATAACGGGGATTATTGAATTGTCTCGATAAACATCCCCCACGGTTATTGGAACCATCGAAGCTATACGATGACCAGCGTGTCAATTGGTAATGAGTTGAAGGACTCTTTCAAGGAGACGTCCAATTGGGTCAACAATAACGTTCAGTTTTTGTCGGACGTTGAACAGTTCTACAGACAGAGGATTCAGATCGAGAGGGAGTACAGCTCACAGTTACAGAAGCTAACCTCTGAATATCTAAAGAAAAAGGCGAACCGATCAATTGCCGTGTCTGTTGGAGATGAGCCGAAGATCACGCCTGGATCTCTAGAATCCGCAACGTTGGTGGCCTGGACAGAGGTGCTTTCAAAGACAGAGGCCGTGGCTAAGAACCACGACACTTTCGCCAACGAGTTGAACTTCAAAGTTGCCGATCAGATACTCTCGCTGCAAAGATCCACAGATGCTATGCAGCAGCGTCTCTTACAATTCTACCAGGGAACGCTGTTGAAGAAAAAAGATGATATATTCGAGCAAGTGACGAGGGCAAAGAAGTCATATGACGAATCCTGTGAGAGTATGGAGTCCAATAGAGCAAAGTCTGAGAAGTCCTTCAACAAGGAAAAATACCAAAAGAAGGCACACGAGAAGGAGGTGGATATGAACATTGCCAAGAACAACTATCTGCTGAAGATCAACATTGCTAATCGTATAAAGGATAAATTTTACTACCAGGATCTACCAGAGGTCTTGGACCTGTTTCAAGACCTGAACGAGTTCAAGACAATGCAGTGGAATTTCCTCTTGACACTTGGTTCGACAGCCGAAATTAACATGGAGAATAAGAATATAGAGCTGTTTAATGCTGCGATCAAAGTGATTGGTGAAAATAATCCACAGTTGGACACGCAGATGTTCATAAAACATAACGTTTCACAATGGGCAGAGCCTCAAGATTTCTACTATATCCCGTCTTCTATTTGGCACGATGATGAACAGTTCAGATCTGGTGATGAGGAAGTGCAAGCACTGAGAAGGAACTTGGTGCTTGCTCACAAGTCCTTGAGCCAAGTTGATGAATCCTTGGAGTCCGGTAGGGAAAGGCTGAATTCTTTATCAACGCAAAAGGCCCAGTGTAAGGGCAAATCTATAAACGACTTTGAGATAAAGCCCTCTCTAGATCTGGTGAACCAATACCTCGTCACACTATCGCAGTTTGTCATTGAAGAGAACTCCAAAGTTAGTGCACAGGTGGAGATTGAAACTATTGAGAATAACGTTGGCGATAAGGACCTCTCAATTGACAATTTAACCGTGACAACGAAGAAGCGTGGGTTTTTCTCAAGATTAAAAGGTGCCAGTGCTGAAAAGGACGTGGTTAGGGACTCTTCTGACGCATTCGATGATAGTCGAAGTATCATGTCCTCGCAAACGTCAAAATCGCACCATTCGACGCATTTCAAACTGGGCTCGCTGTTGCGACCACGCACTACCTCTGTATCGACGAGTGCGACCGGTGGTGACCCAATTGGAGCCAGTTCAGGCTCTTCTACTCTGCAGGGGACCGCAATGTACGCCTATGAGGCACAAGGTGACGATGAGCTGTCGTTACAAGCTGGCGAAACGTTTAACGTCATCGCCCCAGATGACGGCTCTGGATGGACAGAGGTTACCATCAACGGGGCTCAAGGCCTCGTGCCAACGTCGTACATCCAAGTGTCCACCGTCAGCACCCCATCCTTGACCAAGAAGAAGGGCCCAGAGGTCACACCAAGAAGAGGAGCAAAGAAGATACAGTACTGTGTAGCCAAATTCCCCTACACTGCGGAGGACGACACCGAATTGACCATTGCAGAAGGTGACCGTATAGAGGTCATCAAGGGAGACGATGGCGGGTGGACAACAGGAGACCTTGGTGGTAGAACAGGACTGTTTCCAACCAGCTATGTCGAGTTCCAATGAGCTAAACGTGTATAATAAATGAACTGTGAACGGTCCTTTATTTAGCCATAAGCCCACCAGCTCATTTAACCGGTACCGTGCTTTCTGGCTGCGGGCAGCGTGCGCGTGCGTGCCGTCGGAAAATTTACTCTCAGGCTCAGGCGTTTCCAGTAGAGTTTCACCGGAAGAGCCATAAAACATCAATCAAAACAAAACAAAGGTGAGATATCTTCAACGGTCGTGGACTAGGTGATAGAGCAGCGAGCATAGATCAATTGAGCAACATGGGAGGGTCTGTTTCGAAGATTATGGTATGTATTGATGAGTCTGGTAGGACAGTGAAGCGTGAGGCCATGTTTCTAATTAACATCCGTCTGTATAGGGCAAGCTCTTTGGCACCACCGAGATGAAGATGCTGATGCTCGGGCTGGACTCTGCTGGTAAGACGACGATTCTGTACAAGCTCAAGCTGAACAAGATCAGAACGACAGGGCCAACGGTGGGGTTCAACGTGGAGACTTTCCAGTATAAGAATGTGAAATTCAACATGTGGGACGTTGGTGGCCAAGATAGGCTACGGCCGCTTTGGCGCCATTACTTCCCCAAGACGAATGCCCTGATATACGTGATAGATTCGTCGGATAAGAAGAGGCTGCAGGAATCAAAGATACAGCTAGAAAAGGTTCTGCGTGAGCTGCAAAACGTTTCCAGTGCCCAAGGGTTTGTTCTGCTGGTGTTTGCCAATAAGCAGGACCTGCCCGGCGCATTGAGCCCGAAGGAGATCAGTAACACCTTGGATTTGAAGAATATACTCACACCAGACCAGTTGTACGCTGTGATGGGTACTAATGCCCTAACAGGCCAGGGGCTTATCGAAGGGCTAAGTTGGGTGTCGAATAACTTCAAAAAGAACAGGACTTGAACAGCCTCTGTGTGTTTTTTTTATCACAGCTAATAATTAATCGTCAATGCGAGAATATAAATGTGCTATGGGACTCCAGATCAATGGCAGCAGCTACTTACAACTCAACGTTTGAGTCGCCTTGTTTAGTTCTCAAGGTCACAGTACCGTTCTCTTCGCCGATGTAGGCCTTGGAAGGGTGTTCCAAGAACAGCCCAGTTTCAACAACACCTATTATGTTGATGAGCTGTTCATGGAGCTTGGCTGGGTCTTGGATAACACCAAAGTGTGCATCGATGAGGAAGTTGTTGTTGTCAGTGATAACTGGGCCAGCTTTGGCGGATCCACCTTGTCTTAAAGTGATCTTTTCTGCACCGAGCTTCTTCAATTGGTTCTCCACGTAGACGTATGAAGATGGCACAACCTCAATTGGAACACCTTTGGTCCATTGGATACCCAAATTGGACGATTTCTTTCTAAAGTCGGCAACGAGGATGAACTGCTTAGCAGAGAAGGCAACCAGTTTCTCCTGGAAGAGACATGCACCACCACCCTTGATGGCGTTGACCTGGGTGTCAACCTCATCTGCACCGTCAAATGCAATGTCGATATCAGGATACTGTTCAATACTGCCCAATTTCAGTCCATTCTCGAGGATTAATCCCTTTGATTGGAACCCAGTTGGAATACAAACGAAGGTGTCCTTGTTGTCTAGTTGGCCAATTCTCTCGGCAACGTAAACCACCGTGGACCCTGAACCAATGCCGATGACCTTAGCCTCTGGTGGGAAGTTATCGTCCACGGCTTTGTAAGCGGCGAGACGCTTCGATTCTTCAGTCACGTTGGCTAAAGGCTTAAGCTCAGAGTATGGAACCAGTGGCATCTTTGTATAACTCGATATGTTCTTCAACGATCTCCTTAGCATACACACCTTGCAATAGGTTGAATTACAGCAAAGAACAAAAAAAAAATTCACACACAAAGTAAATTGGATTAGTTGACACACCCACGTACCACACTTCTCCGGATCGACCTGGGGGAGATAATGAATCATTAACGGGAGGCGTTTACTCCAAAAAATTTTCGACTCAGGTGCGTATTATTGGGTGTGGTGCGAACCTCCGCTTTGCCTATGCCATTGGAAGGAGGTGTCACCATTGTTTCGGTGTAGTCGGTGTTGGTGTTACTGAGGATACCGGGTGTTGGCTTGCTAATGATGTGCTGAGCAGACTGATATGTTCCACCAATTGGTTGTCAATCCACGTTGAGCCGTCAGGTCACTCACAGTTAACCTCATCGCTTCTTCCGATGCGCTTAACTCCAAATTTTTTTCACTATGGGGTTTTTTAGGTCTTTTGGAAAATACGTCACGTGGGTATCGGCTAGGGCTCTGCCCCAGATCCACATCCAAACACCGATGGACCGCCCCAAGATCCACATCCAAACACCACAAAAAAACACAACCCAGTCGCACACGCTCACAAACACACGCAGACGACGCTCAGTGCGTGCGCGCGCACAAGCGTGCGACGCCGGTAAAAATTTCACATACGCCAGCCAAAATTCGCGGAAATTTTCACAGTCCCATGGAAATTTGCATATAGAAAACTTTCATCAACTCATTAACGGTTTTACTGCTTACGACCCATTAAACCTTTCTAGTAATCAATCAAATCAACAATGTCTTCCGCTGCTGCTAAGATCTTGAACGAGAAGCCATCCGAATTGGAGTTGCAAGTTGCTAAGGCTTTCGCTGACTTGGAGGCCAGCTCTCCAGAGCTTAAGGCTGACTTGAGAACTCTTCAATTCAAGTCCATCAGAGAGGTATGTTCCACACCCATGTAATCTTTATAATGGCTGGAGCAATCAAAAAGTCTTTCTTGATGTGAAGTTGGTTGTGAGAAAGTGGGTCTTTTAATGCGTATTGACTCTGTGTTGGCTTTGCTATTTCAAAGTGAATGACTGTCTTTTTTTTTGGAGAAGAGAAGCTTTAAATGACAACTTTCTCCCGTACGGTTCCATCGTCTTTTTGTTATGCTTTTGTCCGTTCCTTCTTTTCCCCCCTAGGAGGATTCTGTAACGCATACTAACGCTATTTCCTCTAGATTGACGTCTCCGGTGACAAGAAGGCCATTGTTATCTTCGTCCCAGTCCCATCTCTCGGTGCTTTCCACAAGGTCCAGGTCAAGTTGGCCCGTGAGCTCGAGAAGAAGTTCCCAGACCGTCACGTTGTCTTCCTCGCTGAGAGAAGAATCTTGCCAAAGCCAGGTCGTACCTCTAGACAAACTCAAAAGAGACCAAGATCTAGAACTTTGACTGCTGTCCACGACAAGATCTTGGAGGACTTGGTCTTCCCAACTGAGATTGTCGGTAAGAGAGTTAGATACTTGGTTGGTGGTAACAAGATCCAAAAGGTCTTGTTGGACTCCAAGGACGCTCACTACGTTGACTACAAGTTGGAGTCCTTCCAATCCATCTACAGCAAGTTGACCGGTAAGCAAGTTGTCTTTGAGATCCCAGGTGAGAACCACTAAATGCATTGATATAATTCAACTTTTTTCTGTTACGAATTGTCTGTTTTTTATATGGGGGGAAAAGAAGGTGTATAAGTGTATCCTTTCACACTAATCACTTAATAAAATTCCAGTAGGTTTTAAACGATTGTTCTGTACTGTTATAAAGAATGAGGATTACTTGTGTTCATAAAATGTTTTATTTCTCACTAAATGCGTATTCTGTTTGTCTTCTAATGTCCTCCCTGTTTAAATCAACAAACCTGTTGTAGGCTTCCTTGTCTTCCTCCTTTTTAAATGCGCCCTCCATGAAGTGGTCATATGCTGTTTTGGGTCTTGGAGGAACCATTCTGTGGGACTCGTTGGTTTGTGCATGCGCTGTCATGTTAATCAATGCCTGCTGATCTTCATAGCCATCATACTGGGAGCCTTTTCTCGTGGTCATGGAGTATGGCTCAGTTTGACGACGCACAACTGCACTTGGGCGATTTGAAGCACCTGCGATTGATCTTCTCGTGGGGCTTGATGTATCAGATGACTTAACGGAGTATTGCAGCTCTTTAAAAGATGGTCCATCTTCAATGTCGACTCTTGTCTTCTTCGCCTTCTTTTTGGGGTTTAGAATGTAAGACAAGACTGCACCAACAACAAACCATGCCATTAGATGTTTGAACAATTTCCCCAGTAATATCACCCAAGAGTCGAGATACACAACAATCAAAGGTTGGATCATAACGACTATCGATGTCATGGCAACGCCGAGGCCGAATGAATGGATATGGACTTTGCCGTCGTTGACGTTGTTGATGTACTGCGAACTCAAGATCTTATTCACAAGTCTTGACGATGAAACCCTTAGAAAATTGGCAATCTTGTTTATATTCAACCTCTCCATAAAGTCTTCAAACGGTGTTGGCTCATAATCATTTGCTCCTATTGATTCTCTCGAATTCCCAAATCTTTGATTTCTGGCTCTGGTTTCGATAACCAGAGGCTTTATCTCTGCCCTGTGTATTTCAATGTGTTCGTCGTCCGCAGTTCTCTTTGGCGATGGGGGTGCTACCTGCTTATCAAGGCTTTCAACGGTGGGAGTATTGCTGCTCGACGTTGTAGAATTTGCATTGGAGTTCTTGAAGTCGGAATTGATGGAATCTCTGCGCAGCACTGCCTTCTTCAACTTCATTTTCGCATTCTCCGATGATGACGCTGAAGTTGTAGTTGGAATATAGCATTCGAGTGAATTGGGAAAAAGAACACTTTTCCCATCATTTGAACTTTCTCCTGTGCTCTGCATTCTAACCTATCTCAACACGCCTTGGGTTCGTACTCCAATTGCTAATTCCACACGAAGTTCATCTTTCCATCAGCCTTTGTTTCCTCTTCTTCTCTCAAAGAGCTCGGTATGCATATGCGATATTTACAAATTTCCCGATTCGGATTCTATTGATGTACGTGCAGTGGTAACTACAGCAACGAGAATTGCATATAGATATATATGTCATGTTCCAAGACTCTGGAAACGAGGTGTTCATTACTTGAACTTCTTACCAAACAGGATCATCTGGAACTGGTCGTAGAGAGAGATGACACCGGCACTCGCAACACTTCTCAAAATGTTGGCACCACAACCTTTGAACAAGGACTTGATACCCTCCGCTGCAACGATCTTTTCAAATGCATCGAATGCACCTTTGTACTTGACTGCCTGGCCAGAGGTCATCATCATACGTCTTCTGACCGTGTCGAGAGGATACGAAGCAGTGGAGGCACCAACAGTAACACACCATCCGAGGGCGAAGGCAGCGAGGAAATTGCCCTCAAGTGGACCGACAAGAAGTGAAGGCTTTAAGGTGTCGTACATACCAAAGTACAACCCTCTGTAGACGATGATTCCTATAACAGAGGGCAAGAAGCCTCTGTATAGGCCTGCAACACCATCACTTGCCAATGTCTTCTTGTAGACATCGATTAGTCCCTTGTACTCTCTGTCTCCTCCGCCTTTTGACACACTCTTTGCATCATTGGCCAACTTGGTTCTTGCATAGTCCAAAGAGTAGACAAACAGCAAACTCGTTGCACCAGCCAAACCACCAGAAGCCAAGTTACCACCAAACCAACGCCAGTAGTTGTCCTCCTTCTTAAAAGCAAACATCTTCTTGAACTTATCCTTGAACGCAAAGTTCAACGCCTGGGTGGGGAAATATCTGATCACGTTGGCTGTGTTACCTCTCCAGAAACTGACAAGGCCTTCTTCAGCCCAGGTTCTGCTGAAACATTCACCAATTCCGCTGTACTTCTTCGCCAAACGTCCTTGCTTTATCATCTCATCCTGGTTCTGGATCAGCAACTTGACACGTTCAATTGGAGCTGCTGCTGTCTTAGAGATGGCTGCGGAAACACCACCCATTAGGAAGTCTGTGAGGAAGTTGTCAGACATACTGGTTTCACTTTAAAGCCGTTGCGTCAGATCTACACTAAGATACTGGTATTGAAGTAGAACAGGGGGAGTAAATAGAGCCAGAATTGATAGCAATCTTGAATGCATTCCCACCCTTTTATGCAGATATTGGGTTAAGTTTGGGCCACTCTAACCTCCTGGGCACATACAGTTTATTGTAGATACAAGGGAAAAAGGAACGATGAGGCTATATCTGAACCACATGGGTCGGTTAATGCACATGTCATGTGTCCTTACTGGTCCTACAACATTGGGTATTTAGATGTATGATGTATTAAAATGTGAAAATGAACAAATGATGCAACTAAAACATGTTTTCAACGACATATGTGACGACGAATGGTAGAGAGATCACCAACAATGGGTACTGCAACAGTAGATAGAAACTAGTACAGTCCAGCTGAACTTTATCTGGTGCATCTGGTTCTGTTAAGAATGCTGTGAAGTAGATTTGGGTTGTCATACTTGGAAGTCCCCAAGACATACAAATAACCAATTTAAGAGTGATGTCGTCCTTGGAGATCCAACCAGATGACACCAAACGATTAACCCAGAGCACACCCAGTATTGGCATGACGCAGAGACGTAGCACAACAAGAATCAGTGCACTTCTCCAGAACCCAGGTGCAAGATTATCAAACTTCAATCTTGCAATACATCCACCAAGCAATATCAGAGCCAGTGGAACAGATGCAGCACCTATATATGAGGTATAATCCATTATGAAGTTCAAAGGTGGTAGTGTATCGGGTGCACTGGGCATGTAGACCGTTGTCTTGACAAACAGTGCCTTTAACCAGGGAACAAAAGCCACTATAAGACTTATAATAATGGCTAAACTGCATGGACGCAGACAATTTTGGAGGAAAAATGAAACAATTGATAGGTGGTACTTCTTTAAGAACGATGGACTCGAGTCTTTAATGTCAGAGGCCTTCACACCCACTTCTGAAGTTAAGACTCTAACAAGACGTTGTCTCTGAGTCTCATCCTGTCTATCAACGTCAGCTTCTGAGTACTCATCAACAACGTCGTTGATAGTTTGTGATGGCATACGACGAAGATCTGAAACACGATGGAATGATCTCAACGAAGAGGCTGTACTTGATGCTGTCAGCTGTGAAAGGTCGGAACGACGCGATGACGTTGAATTACGACGTCTTCTCATCATATCCTCTGTCAATGGGACTGGCATTTGGTCTTCTTGTGCCAGTTCAGAATCCTCTGTTGAAGAATCACTCTGATCATATTCTGATAGTGGTGGTGTATTAGTCTCATCGCCTGGGAGCTCCTCCTTTGGCGTCTCATCTTCGTCTGCTTCTTCCAGTACTGTATCAAGATTATTTGTGCTTTGCATTGATCCCTGAGTTTGGACTTTATCCAAGGGCACAGGGTTTATTGGATTGCTTATTTGCCTTTTCAGTTGTTCTTCATCGTCCACCTTTCTAAAATCGTACTCAATCAGTCTGAATCCACCAATGTTGAACAGACACAGTGTAAACATCGCTAAGAAGATGATCACATGCGATACTCCCTTCTCACCTTGTGCTTCGGTCAACAAAAAGCCAGAATCCATTGTTTGCAAGTAAGCAATCGGGATATCAGATATATTCGGGAAGATACCACCAGCAAACAAACCACCAGTCCAACGCTTCGGTACGGGCGACACTGCCTTGACTATTGCAGAGCACAGAGCACCTGTTCCAAAGATGATCACTGCAGAGAGACAGATCACACCAACGTCCTTGATATCGCTTCCCTGGATATTAGCAACAACCTTGTTGAAAGTCAAGCACGGTAGAAACACCGTCAGCACCATATCTGACAAGCTTCTCGTGGTTTCCACCGTGAGAATGTTCTTCTTCGCCAGCAAGAACCCAGTCAGCAGAATGAGGTAGATCTTGATGATGGGCTTGACAGCAGACCAGATGACATCCCCAATAGGATACTTCATACTCAACGTCTATGCTCGCCTTCGCTCTATAGCCTTACGACTCCAATGTGACTCAGCTTGGGACCTTTTCCAATGACTCAGTCAAGACTTTCCGCCGTTTTATACCAGTCGCCGCTTATCGTGAAGACGTATTAATAGGCGGTCGGTTTCCGCTATTTATGCGAAAATTTGTCCTTTGTGACTTTTCGCCCTTGGCCCACCGCGGATGTGACGTTTCGGAAAAACTGCGTCACCAGACCAGGACGTGTCCAGCCGTGGTTTGTCCGAGGCCTGTTCTATATTTATACACGTGGAAGGGCCCATTCCTCTGGCCTGTTTTGACCAATTGTCCCTGTTCCACTGGCCAATTGCTCAAGTACACTATGAACAGAACAACAATGGCAGGGCATCGTCCCAGGCGAGCGCATCGTGCCAGGCAAGCGCTGTCCAATCATGTACATAACGCTGTAGAGCTTGGTATCGCACGGGAGAGTTGGCGCATGCGAAGGAATTGGTAGAGCCACTCTGGTGCATGCGAGGACTTGGTAAACACACGCTGGTGCATGTGAGGACTTGGTACAGCCACGCTGGTGCATGCGAAGGATGAAAGACAAAAGTGTAAATCCTCCCACACTGTGTGTGCTACAAGAACTTCACACTGGGGTTGAAACTACAGTGCCAGGTTGAAAGTCTTGTCCCAAGGGTGTGTTTGTTGGTTGTCGTTCTGGCATCGTTGAGACCGTTGAATATCTGAGAAAAGTTGCTTTCCTTAACAAGTAGAACACCGGTGGCTGGTTACATAAGGCCGTCATCGCTTATACTGAGCCAATTGAGAGGGGTCCACTGGTCGAGGCTCAAGGGCAAGGCCAAGTATTTGAAGTATAAGGACAAGCTGGAGAAGAAGATGGATTCCAGGTCAAAGAGACAGAGACTCAAGGATCTCGTGAAGACCACAAGAGACGTGTACATCCCTTCGTTGTCGAATACGATCACACAATTGGCCTCGGAGGCAACTACAAGGGCATTGGGCACACAGCAGGAGGGTGGCTCCACAGCAAACCAGCCGAACTCGAACATTAAGGGAGCACACGTTGTGATATATCCCCATTTTACGAGACGCTCTGGCGATGGTGTCTACTATACACAGGCACACGGGTGGGTGTATTCCACAGAGGGCTCTGTGAGGAAGAAGAAGATCATTTTGGCTCTGGCAAAACAGCTGACAAAGTCCAACAATCAGGCTGTTTCCGATATGGCTGCTACGCAGCTGGACGAACAATTGAGTAGCTTTAATGATCCTTCAGATTCCGCTTCGACCATTTCTACGAGCTCTGAGCTAACTCACAACTCAGCAGGCTCCATAAGAAGAGCTGATACCTCGTCAAGTCAAGGTTCGACTTCTTCAAACGGATCCGATGTCGACGACGTGGTCAAAGAGAGGGTTGCGGCGTTTGTGAACAAGTCTGTGGGCAATGCAGAGCTGATCATCGCCGTAAGTGGCTCTGAAGAGGGTCAATTGACCATTGTGGAGCTGCTCACCGATACTAACGGTAACTTCAACACTGATGTCGTCACTCCGTATAAGCCCACCGCAATTCATGTTTCACTGGCACTGGATGAAAGCATCATGAATGTTAGGGATACCATATTCGCAGGTGACTCGCCGTACTGTGTCATCAGTGACATTGACGACACAATCAAACGCACCGGTGTGTGTGGTGATAAGAGAGCAGTGTTTAGAAACATCTTTGCAGAAAACATCGAGAGCTGGGAAATCCCAGGAGCAGCTGATTGTTATAGATACTTACAGCAGAGGCTGGACGTTTCCTTCTTCTATGTATCAAACTCACCTTATCAGTTGTTTGGCAATCTCAGTCGATTCTTTGAAATGTTTGAGTTCCCATTAGGCTCGATGTATCTGAAGAAGTACACCGGGAACTACTTGAATTCACTTATGGAACAATCGCATGCAAGAAAGAAAGCTCCATTGGAGAGAATCTTACACCATTATAAAGATAGGAAGTTCTTTCTTATCGGAGATACTTCAGAACAGGACTTGGAAGCGTATGTTGACATTGCAAGGGAGCACCCTGACAACATTAGTGCCATATACCTACGTGTAGCTGAAGGATCGATGACCACGGCTACTTTCAAGACTCTAAACGATATTATCAACAAGAGGAGTACACCATTGAATGAAACACCTGGTGATATGAAGGAAAAACTAGATCAATTGAGGACAAGCGAACAAAATCTGATTGATTTGGATGATGATGAGGCTCCAAAGATCACCAAACAAGAGATGGAACATCTTGTTCAAATATCAGAGGAGATAGCTGAGGAGAAAGAAGAGTTAGAAGAAGGCACGACTGATGACTTCTTTGCGAATCAAACCCCAAGGCCACACTCTGAAGCTCATCATAAGAAACCACCTCAAGTTCCAAAGAAGCCAAATTATTTGAAATCAACCCATGTTAGTGATCAATTGGACCAATCTGAGGCTTCTTCATCTCCAAAGCCTATATCATCAGCTCCTCCACTTCCAAGACGTCCAATACCAACGCCTCCTCCTAAGGCTAAAGTTGGCAGTACACCGACTCCAAGCTTTAGTTCGAACGGTACACTATTTGAAACTGAGGAGAGTGTGGAATGGATTGAACGCATACTGACTTCCCTTATTGTTATAAACAAGGCTAACCCCAATATTCGGTTGAAATTGTTTAACGAATTTGCCGATATTCAGGATGAAATGTCTACGATAGTGAAGAATAAGCTATGATATCATGTTATTAGTGTACAGGAAAATGAGCATTGATGAAGAATTGTTTAAGTGTGTATGGTTACTATTTATTCCTCTTGGTGTAAGAATCATAGTACTTTCCCAACGTTGGACTTCATTACAAAGAAGATTCATCACAATGTATGATAAGAACAATGAGAGGGAAGAAATGCTAAATGCAAACCTAAGCAGATGTTTCCACAACCTCTGGATTAATTTGTTCTTGTTCAACCTTTTCTGGTTTCTCCTCCTCTTGCTCGGGTTGGGCAGATTGTGTTTTCTGCTCTGGGACATCCACTGGAGCATCCTCTGGAATCTTCTCTAAGGACTTTTCTTCATCCTTGGCCTTCAGCATCTCGAATGTAACGTTTGAACCATCACCATAATCTTTGATGTTTTCATCTTCAGGTTCCAAAGCCTTTTTAAACTCAGACATGTCGAAGGCATCTTCACCTTCGTCTTCTTCATCTTGGTTAAAGGTCTTGTTGAGGAACTTCTGCTCAAAGATCTCTCTACCTGTAAGTTTGGTCTTCTCTTTCTTCTTATCGTTCTCCTTCTTGATCTTGTTATCCAATTTCCACTTGTTGAAAGATTCAATTGTGACAGGTGTAAGGCCGGTTTTTGGTAATTTATGTCTCTCAGTCTCGATAAACTCTTCAAGAGTGATTTTTGGTTGGTTTTCCAATGCCATCTTTTCCAGTCTCTTCTGCTCTTTGGTCTTCAGTACGAACCCTTCAGGCAAAGAGTGTCTATATTTACACTCATTACCCCCGTTTGGACAAACCCAGAACCAACCGTACTTTTCATTCTCCACAGCCTCGATGAAGAACTTACACACCTTATCAGTGGTGGTCTGTGCATTGCCGTGCTTGGAGGTGATAACAGAACGCAGTTTTTCTTCATCCCAGTTATCCATAGTATCGGCTTCTTTCTGTTTTCTATCGTCTGTGTACAGGTCCTTCTTCGTGGCCTTCTTACCAACATCCATATCATGCGAGAACTTGCACTTGGCACCCCTTGGGCACTTACCGTCTCTGAACAGCACACAGAGAACAGACTTAGGATCAACTCCGAATGGAACCTTCTGTTGAACTTGAGACTTCAGCATGGCCATGGCTTCTTGCTTAGCAAACTCTGCGGCCTTCTTCTCCTGCGCCCTACGTTGAGCCATCTCCTTTTCTTTCTTGGCCTGAGCAGAGCTCATAGCAGTGGATTCAATCTCTCTTGCAAGCTTCTGAACCTTGGATGATTTGTTTTTCTATAGCACCAGTTAGCATTCCTTGTCTTGTTCTACTGAAACCAGCTCAACACATACGTTCTTCATACCAAAGGTCTTGTCAGCCACCACCTTCTTCACATCCTTCTTCTTCTGGCCTTTGTCACCCTTGTTTCCTTTCTTTGGAGGCATCTTCAGTACTCTTTATCGCTCTTCAACGTCCTCTTTCCACCAAATGATGTGTCTTCATTATGACCTCTTCGACGGCTCCAGCGTCGTCTGCCTAAAGTTTTTTTTCATGATGTGTTGCCCCTACTGAAAAGTTTTTCGTTGATTATGTAATCAGGTGTCCGGGTGTGAGTCTTTCCTCGAAAGCAGTGTGCATATCACGTACATGTACACACGTTCTTCTTATGAAGTTGGGTATGATAACACAGTTCTCTCTTAGTTTAGTGCCCAATCTACGTGTTTCTTGATGCTGTAGACACTTATGGACTGTGTGCCCTTAGCGAAAAAGAGTTGGACCTCGTGACACCCGGACTAATTCTAGGCATTTGGCTGCGAAAGCCCATCTCACGAGGACTCAGTCCCTTGTTCATCACACGTTGTGATAAATAAATAGAGGTGTTTCCGAGTTTACCAGCACATTGATTCAGTCATTGACACACTTAGAGCGCACAAGAGGAAATGTTGGATCAACTACCAGTGGAGATACTTGGTGAGGTTGTTAAGCATCTCGATGCACAGGATATCAACAGTTTGTT